TAAAGAAAACAAGAATTTCAAGTATTACATCTTTCTATTTATGCCAAATAGAATGAGATTTTAAATTGTTATTTTCAGTTTTTGACTTTGGTCAAAGATTAGCTTCGTTTACAATATCTGCAAGTAACACATCATTAAAAAATAATTTGGAAAAATCTAGTCCACGAGTTACGTTTATTGAAAGTTGAGAGCATACATTTGCTACTGTGAATGGCAGTGCTTCAAATGCTGGAGTACCATGCATTACTTTTGTCTAACCGATATTCAAAGCAGGTCCACTATCATCAGTTTTATTTAGCTAAATATCTTCCTCTGACTAATTATCTCTCACTGATATCACTGAAAATTTAGTTTCGTATTCACTAAAAGTGTATTCATATCGCTTTCAGTACTTGTTTCATCCATTGCCTTAAATCTTCTTTAATTGTATAACATTTTCCTACTATTTGTAAATAAATTTTTATTACAACTTTCCAAAAGTATAAGTAAGGTTAAACGAGTAAAAATATCACTGTAAATCACAAAATTGTATTGTAAAATTATTACAATAAGCCATATATTATTGTGGTAATAACAGCCTTAATCAAAAAACAGCCAGAAGTCAAAAAAAGCCTATAAATAATATTAGCCGTAATAGCCTCGAAATTAGACTATTAAAAGAAGTTTTGTGCCAGTTCATTATTTATTGCTATCGTATTAAATAAAGTATTTTTGATTTCACTGAACAACAAATTTTTGTTTTTGATTGTTTGCTTGTGGCGTTCTCCTATAGTAGCAAATTTTATACCTTCTTGATGATTTTTTATACAGTTTCTTACAGCACTTTGGTTAATGTTTAAAGTTGCGGCAATGAATTTGGTTAAATGAATGTTTATCAAATTAAACATGTTTATAATTATTTTATGATCTTCCTTAGTTATCGTTATTCGACTTTTTCTAGCCATGTAAGGTTTAAAGTTTAAGTTTTTTAACATTAATTTAAAAAACTTGCATTAATTAGATAAAAACCTTACTGATTTGGTTTATATTTTTCAGCCAGCTAGTCATTTAATTTTTAATTACAATTTAATATTGTACTTTAATTCCCATACAGCTTTCTTAGATGATTCTGAAAATGACCTGTACTATTATAATGGCATTTATTTACTGTTAAATAAAGCACTTTGTATTTTTGTATAAAGCAGTTTATAGTTTTGCATAAAGCACATTATAATTTTGCATAAAGCACTTTATAGTTTTGCAAAACTGTAAAATGCACAAAATAAGTTTTAGTCTATTTAATGAATAATTGTTATAGTTTATGCAAATTTAAACTTGCATAAATTTTTGTATTTCTGTAATAATAAGGATTTAAATACTTTTATTACAATTGTTATTAATTTAATCTTTTGTCAAGCTTAAAATTTATTTATCATACCGATGACTGCACCTTTCATATCGATGAATATGGTAATATGTTGCTCAACTATGTGCACTTTCAGAGGCCCTTAGATTTTTAAAGTTCCTATACAATTTTTCTTTAACTTTGACATAATTAGAGCTTAATGATTTTCTAAAACAGCCATGGACTACTTTTTCAAAATCTCTAACTACCTTAATTTATTTAGATAAGGGAGCTCCAAGGTTAGACTCTTGAAAAAACATTTCAAAGCTGTCTATGTTTTTAAACAACTTATTGCAAGACAAATATTGTTTGACAACCTGTAACACATACTCCTTGTTTTCAAAGAAATTGTTTTCAGTTTCTTTTAAAATTTTGTCTATAACACCTAAAAGTATATGTAGACTGGGAATATTAATAAGCTCTATTATTTTTTTATTTTTTTCCCTGTTAATAAAAGGTGTTGAAGAACATTTGTGAATATTTTTTAATTTTGCAGCATTAGATATCCATCAGTTATATATTCTGCACAAAAATTCTAAAGAATACGGAACACCTTTTTGAAAGTTAGGAGATGAGGTCATGCAAAACAGACAAGAGTGCTTTGATGTAGCAGTTTATTTTTCAATCATTTGAAGCAATACCTTTATAACTTCAGATACTATATAATCTGATAAAGAAATGTTCAATTTACCCGAAATTATTTGCAGAACATGGTCTATTTTGTTCATTAAAGGCAAAATGGCCAGCATAGTTAGATTACTAAACCGAAAAAGCTCTTGAATCCATTCACCATGATTTCAATCAGTTTAGGTGAATAGAAAAAGTTGAAGAACATAGCCCAAACTATATTAAAGCGCTGAAAAACGCAGTTATTGGTTACAACTACCAATGCTTTTAAAGTACCTTTCAATTTGTGGGTAGCTTGTAAAAAGTATAATATTAACTTTTTATGAATACTTGCTTATCATAAACTTCTAATATATGATATGGTTATATATGAAATGCAAATAAAATAATAATTTAACCAAATAGACCAAAAAAAAATTTTTTTGGCCATTAAGTAGTTGTAGTTAACCCTATTGGACCCCTATACCTCACCCTTAGTATATGATTCCCTAAATCTTAAACGAAGAGATATTTTTTGATTAAACTTGATCAAAATATTTTGGTCTAATTTATGATAGAACTTAAAAAAAAAGTTTATTAGCTTCGGAGACGCAGTACTAGGAAATGGGCAATTTGGGGTCCGGACGGGGTTGGGTTAGCTTCATTTACGTCAACCTTTTGCAATTTATCTTCATTTGATACTATTATTAACATACAAAAAATTTGTATATGCCACATAGCTCTTAGTTACCTATCTTGAACAACAAAATTACTTGGCACTTGCCTAAAATACGTAATTTCTCCCTAGGCCTCCGGTGAAAAATGTCGTTTTTTACATTTTTGAAATAAGGAAGAGTCTTCTGATAATACACAAAAAAAAATTCAGGGGATGTGTTGCAAGGTCTCAGAGCATCTTCCTAAGCACCGTGTCAAGCAGACTAACAAGTTGAAACTGTAAAAAAAAAGCTTGATAGAAAGATGTTTATCCTGCAATGCAATAGATACCGATAACACAATACTTATGAGTATGTGTGCACAATGTATACAAAATTGAACAGATTTCAAAAATACAACTAGGTTTCTAAAAAAGATTTTATAAAGGATATATTAGAGTTAAATTATTATATAAAAGAAGTTTATTGACTTCAGAAAAAAGTTTCAAGAAACTTTTTTCTTTTAATATTTCTCTACTAAAATATATCCAAAAATAAAACTATATTTGAACTTCGAATAAAATTTGATATAAACAAAAGTTTTACTTTACTTTCTTGTATTTAATTACTCCACAATTCATCACTTTTAAAACATTATTACTTACATTAGAAAATTACTTTCTTTTTATTCTTACTATCATTAATATCAAATCTATAAACTTTGCAAAAATATACAGCATGTGTTATAATATAAATACTATAAGATATTTAGGTATATTGAATTTAATTAACTAACCATTATATCTGGAAATGAGTAGTCCCTAAATTACGCAACATAAACTTTCAAAATAAATAAAACATATAAAAAAATGCTTTCCCTTGCAGTATTTTAAATTTAAAGGGTGCATCTAGGATTTTTTGGTCTTTATAATAACTAATATCCCAACATGGAGCAAACTCCTAACAGTTATACATTTTATTCTTATGTCAAATAAAAATGCCTTTCAAAAATTCGCCATGGTTAGTGCCCAGGAACAAAAAAGCTCAAATATTTTTACCATCCTTACCTGAGACTAACGCGATAGCAACAAATTAATAATTTATTTTTTAATTTGATCTCAACTAGACTTACATTCATTAAGAAATTTTAAGTTTCACTGTAAAATCTCTCTGCGTTCAAAACTATAAGTATATAAAATTTGTAAACCCCTCAAATTGAAGGGTGTTCAAACTTTATACTGTCATAATTTTTTAACGCTTGAATATTTTACTACAAAATTCAAAATTAATCCAAGAATATATCTTTAAATTAGAATAATACAAACATTATTCTTCAACCCTCACGTTCCTCTCATGTTTGGGGCAGGAACGGCAAAAATATTAGGGTTTTTTTGTTTCCTTGTTCCATTTATAGTAATTTTCTAAAAGGCATTCTTATATGACATTATTATAAAAATAAATATGTTTTGAGTTTGCTCCATAATTAGATGTTAGCTCTCTCAAAAGTTTAAAAATGTTTAATCCGTCTCTGAAGTCTATCTATTATCATTGTCATAAATAATATAATTATAGAATATAGGTTTGTTAATAAATAGTGTATCATTTATTTTTATTTTTTATTTGTTTCAAGAGTTACTAAAAATTATATTTTCAAGATACTAGGTAACAAAACAAATAAGGTTTATTTTATAGATAATGTTTTGAGACTGTACAAATGAAAAAAAAAATTGTGCAAAAATATTTGAGGTTTAAATTTTAAATTTACGTTATTTTTTAGTTTAATATTTTGTACTTATCTTAGTTTTAAGGGCAATGGTTACAATTAGGAAAGAATTTTACATATATTTTTAAATATTCGATTACAATTGTTAGGCATTTTTAATGTATTTTTGAGTTGTTTTGAGTTATGTTTTTCTACAAAATTGATAAGTAATAATAAAAAAAAGAAAGAATTTTGCATAAAAATAAATAATTTGATTTACTAAAATAATTTACAAAAGACTAAATAATACATTTTAACGATTTTAAAATTTATTTGTCATTAGCAAAAGATAAATGCAATCCTAAAGTTGAAAAATTTTTTAAATTAAATTTATAACAAACTTTAGTTTTAGCAATATATATATATATATATATATATATATATATATATATATATATATATATATATATATATATATATATATATATAAAAGATTTTTTACTACTTTATAATTGCTCTGTTCTTTTAAGAACATTAAGCACTCTATTTTGCAGAATACATTTTAAAATTGTTTAAAAATGCTCAAAACCCATTTAAAAAAACACAGCATTTATACCATGTAGTTTAAATCAGAACAATGGCAACAACGACTTACCATATGATCCATGCACATATTTAAATACCAAAAATGTAACCATCTTTAAAGTTATCTATAAAAATAATATAATTAAGAGAATTTTATTGCGTTTAATTATATTGATTACATTAATTTTTAAATAATTTAAGTTAATAGGAAGAATTAAAAAAATTAAAACATTTTTTGTTTTTGGTCATATTAATTTCAAGTAAACAAAAATTTGTTTGAAAAACCTCTGTCCAAGTTACAACTTTAGTTAGTTTAGTGTTAAAAGTGACAAATTCAACGCAATTTTCAAAAATATTATAACATAAATACATTTTATTTGCATAATGACAAATATCAGTCAAAGCATGTTAGAAATGTTACAAAAATTTTTTTTCTTTTTATTAAGTTTATCAATTTGCGCCAAGAAGTCTTTACAGTTTAATCACTGTGCTTCACGTAATAAAAAATTAAAATTAAATTGCAATGAAAATTGCAATTTTATTTTTTTGCGTATTCTTTGGTGATTTTTTTCAAAATAAAGTAAATTCTTTCAAAAGCCTCTTTATAAAAATTACAAGTCTTATGTGTTACTTTTGACAAAATTTAACGTAACTTCAAAAAACAATGTGAAATAAAAACATTTTTATGTGCATAATGACGAATAAAATCAGTGAAAGCATGAAGAATATCTTCCCTAAAGCCTTTTTTTTTTTTTGAAAGTGTTCAAAAAAAAAAAAGGCTTTAGGAACACATTAAAGTGTTCCAAAAGCTTTTACAGACTTATCATCTAGCTCCGTAAAAAAGCATTTAACTAGGAAGTTTACGCCACCTTTCTTACCAATATAATTTAACTTTAATGCAAAATTATTCGAACCTATGACAACTTGGTTCTGAGCCAAAACTCTAACCACAGCGCCACGGCTTACCCTCAGACATAATGATTTTGGAAAAACTTTGTAAATATTTTAGAAAGACTTTTAAATATCAAATTGTTATGGGTTCTAAATATTTTAATAATGTACAAATTACTGACGAATCTATGAATATAAGTAAAAGAAAATAATAAAATCTTATGTAAAAATGACATTATTTTTAGCATTTAAAAACTATTATAGAAAAATGTAAAAAATGTAAATAAAAAATTATGTTTATAAATTTAAAGATGTGGCCGGTAGAACTTATTATATATTCTTTTGACTTATAATCTACAACAAAAAAAATATGTTTGTAATAATTTAAACCTAGTTTTGATGTCAATAATTTTTTTTTTATAATATTTACAAAAACTAAATTTTAATGCAACATTTGCATAAAATGAATCTCCAACTGATTGAAAATAACTAATTTTGAATTGTTAAAATGGTCAAATATAAAGTGTTGTTCAAAATCATTTTAAAATTCTATGTATGGTACCCTAGGACATGCCAACAAACTCCCCTTCATTATTTCATATAAATAACATTGAAAACACAAAAACAAAAAAAATAAAATAAAATAACTTTTTGTGAAACAAAAATTTGAGGACAAGTTAAATAAAATAATTTTAAAGTTAAAAAAAACCATAGCGTTTGAATAATTTAATTTAGTTTGATGTATCGTCAGTAAAATACAAGTCAAGTTAAACAAAGGTTCGTATACGATACTGTGTTTAAATTGAGAAATTTGCATTCAAAGTTCAAAATCTCCTTATCTAAATTTAATTACATACTGAAATCTAACAAAGTTAACTAGAATCAATATAAGCTTTTGTTAAAACTTGAGCACGCAGCTGCAGCTGGAAATATAGTGCTAGGAAAATTTAAAATAGGATTTATAAGTTGTGATTTAACTTTTTATGCGTTTCCTATACACTACTTATATCATCATAATTTGAATTTGCCGCCCGGCGTGGGGCGGATATAAATATAGGAGATATAAATATAATAGAAAGAATTCAACATCGAATTTCAAAATGGAATAAAATAAAAAGTAACCTAAAGTACGAGGAACTTTTATAATTTTTTAATTACCCTTGAAATCGTTGCACGCGTAAGGATCTAATTCAACATGAAATAAATATATAATGAAATAAAGTGAAATAATTAATGGAATTAATTCAATCAAGTATGTAGCGCCACAAACCGCAGCAACGTTTTAAAGACCTAATTATAGTTTAAAAACAAGAGGCCATGCCTATAAACTAGCCATCAAAAAAATTTTGAAGCATTATGAAATTCGTAATTTTTTAAAAGTCGATTAACTACCATAGTAAACGCCTGTTTACTATGGTAGTTAATAGACTTTTAAAAAATTATTTGAAATTTTTCTACAAACCATTTTTCATTTTTTTGAGGGGCTTGGTTAGGGGTAAGATATAGATGCAGGGCCGCCTTATAAATAAAAATTTCCCTTTATTACATACGAAAAACATATTCTTTTTATTTTTTTTATTTTGAGGTACCTTTTTTAGGGGCCTATGAGATAAAAACATAGCAGAGACCTAAGGGGAAAAACCCTTCAACACCCATTGCTAGTCTGAGCCTGACCTTGGTAGTCCACTTAATTTATGTACGATATTAATATTCCTTTTATTATGAAATTTCTATAAGGAATTTCAAGAATATATTAAGAATGTAAAAATAATCTCTTTACAACTAATCAAGCACAAGACATATTGTAATGAAATTTTTATACACAAGTGTTTTATATTTACTTTTGATTGTTGGAGAAATGATAGTTGAAGAAAAAAAAGAGTTAACAGGGTCTTCTGCTACATATCTAGGAGTTTCTTCCTCCATTTCTTGGCTAGGCTCAAATACTATTGGTATCGGGTTATCAGCATCAGAAGCCATAAAATACTCCATATTTGTTATAAAATAATTCATATTGGTTACTTATCTTTACCAAAAAAAACGACATATTTATAAATACTGTTTAGCTTTTTTGATTACCAGTATTTATATTTATTAACTGATCATTTTAATTCAATTCATAGAACACAAAAACCCATTCACTATTGAAAAATAAATGCAATTTATTACTTTTCATTTACAAAAAATATGTGTTATATATAAAGTTAATAAGTGAATATACTTAGTTAGTTTGAAAGTCACCTGAGCAAACAGAACGCTACTACTGGTCTACGCTAAATACAAAAATTTCCTTATACGTCTTGTATAAAAAGTTTTTAGGCAAATTTTTTGGACAAATTGGAAAGCCTTCTTATTAAAAAAAATTGACCTTCATATACTTAATCAGAAATTAAAAAACAACAAATGCTTTGATTAGAGCAATAACACCTGACATAGTTGTAAATTTACTTTACAATAGCTTAGATAGTTTTAACCCAGTCAGCACGGGGCGAAAAAAAGACGCCCTTTTAACGTTCAATTAGCGTACGTCCGTCTAATTTAAATTGTAAACGTCTTTTGAACGTCTTTTTCGTATTCATTAAATTTTTTGTCCAAAAAAGACCAATAATACTTAATTAAATCAATAATAAATTAAGTTACGCAATTTACTAATATATTTTTTTTGTTTGTTTGTTTAATTAACAACGCATCTCTGACTCGTTTACTTTTAAATGTAAAAAGGAGATTTTTATGACATCTCGAATTAATATGAATGAATGAATTATTAAAGTGAAAAGCGACTTATGGATAGGTTCTTGTTAATTTATATATATTTTTTATATATATTTAATTACTTGAGAATCGTGTTAATATTGATGCAGGTATTGAAATTGATACAGATATTGAAAGAAATAGTTCAAAACTTAGTATATGATACATATACTAAGTATACTATACATATACTAAGTATATACTTGGCTCTTGATATAGTAGTTCTAGCATGGTATTTAATATACTATATCAAGAACCAAGTTCTGACTATTTGAAAGATTTAGACGTTGCAGAATCTCATGCAGAATAATATTTTTCAAAAAAAAAAACCTAATAAAATTGCAAGGAGTTGATAACTTAGTATAATTCAATATATTTAATTAACAACTTTTAGATTTTGCTATTGAAAATAATCAGACCAGTACATTAGTTAATGAATCTTAAGTATTAAAAAATCAAGGTTTCGAACTTTGCAAAGATGCAAGAAAATTTTTAAAAACACCTAGAGATATAACCTCAGTTATATCTCTGGATGTTTTTATTTGGTTGCATTTTCGTGATAAACAGTTATTTTCCTGTTATAACTGTTATAACACCTAGAGGTATAACTGAGTTATACCTATATTGAGTCTAAGTGTTATCATAATTTTCCTTACATCTTTACGATAGACCATTAGTAACTGTTCCTGAAAAGTGTGGTTGTAATTACTAAAGGAAATTTTCTACCCATTCTATATCTTATATAACTGTTATAACTGGTTGTTTTTTTTTAATTTGTTTTATTTTTTAGAGACTTATCCTACTCTTTTATTATCTAATTTCAATGAAAATATCCTTTAGAAGATAAATAATTTCTCTATTTTATCATTCTTTAAAAATTTCTAAATAAATAATTTTAATTAATATCAAAATATATATTTATTATTTCATGAAATTTATTTTTTACTAACTTATTCAACTTTATATAAAAATAAGAAAAATAAATTTAAAGATGGAAATGAGTATATATTTACTTCTATATTAAATTTTGAAAACTTCTGGTTTATAGTTTTAATATTTAGTAAAAAAAAACACAGCAAACATTAAAATTAAAAATTCAGTAGACCTTTATAAGCATTTTAGGTATTTTCAGTTTTGATCATTATTTACTAAATGGACCATTAGTTGCAGCAGCCAAAAATGGCTATCATATTATTTACTACTTTATTACTTGTTAGAATGTTATTGGCAATTTACTAAACAACCGATGAGCTAAACTCAATTTAACTGCTCAAAATGCTTATAATGGTCCACTGCAAATCCACTCTAACAATATTGGCTGAGACGCTTTCAATATATTTATTGACATTTATTATATATATTTTCAGGATTTCTACTCCTTCTTAAAAATCTTCAATATTCTTTACAAAATGTCCTTCTTAAAAGTCCTTAAATAACCTTGAAAATAAAAAAAATTTTGACTGCTCTCCTTAAAATCTCCTTA